GAAAATTAATCAGGATCAGTATCCAGCATTGATAATATTTTCGTTTTTGTTAATTACGTGCAAAGAAAAATAGAACAATTATACTACGGTATGCATACCCTATGTAAAACCAGTAATTCATTGTATACCGTTTTGTTTGTGAATGAAAGAGGCAAGTTGCAATTGTAATTGAACATACACGATTTCGTAGTGATAACCCGCTCCTAGTTGTTAAACAAAGCTTAGCAAGGTTCGCTACTTTCTCACGGGTTATTTCTTGTAGTTTTGAAGTATGATTAGGTAAAAAAAGCATTTTTTTGCGGTTTAGTTAGACTTAGCTTCTAGCCAACATTGTTACGTTAAAATGGAAGTATTGGACTAATTTTTTGTGGGTGTTTTTGTTTTTTTGCATTTGCGAGAGGTTAACCCCTAACACCTGACAAGAATCAAGGTAAGTGTTCTCTTTTTGGTATCCAAACGCAGACATGTGAATGAATAATGGAGACTTTAAGATCCAACGACGCGGACGACAACGAGCACGTCAAAAAAATAATTGGTTTAATTAGCAAAACAACAACTTCGCACGTGCATCACACTTTTTTGTACATTTCTTTCCCATTTTTGCACGACTACGACGTGAAAATGCCTAATTTGGCGTTTTATGGAGGACGTAAACAAGCAACGACGAAATTTTATTTCTCTTTCTGAGCTTGAATTTGGTCCCTTGAATTCAGCTTCAAGAGGGTTCGCCTACAATTGGCAAAGTAACTGGGTAGGAATAATCGCTATAAAGACTGAAAGAACGCAAATTCACTTTTTAAGCGACGTTCTTGTCGCCGTCGCGTCGTTGGATCTTAAAGTCCCTAATATAACGAACGTAAATGGCGGGGCAAGAAGGATAAGATGACTATCGCAATCTGAAGAAGAATTCTGTTGCTCACTTCAAAACAGTTTTCTTCCGGTGAAACGCGTTCCTAGGGGCTTTATCTGTTACATTGCTACTTTTTGGTAGGTATAGTTCTTTATGCGGGGAATTATTTTCTAACATACACAAACCTTTTAAGCACTCAAGATCTAAACTCTAATTCCCATAGACATTTTTGGAGAAATGAAACAAATAAAATCGTTCGAGGTCAAAGCTGACAACGGTACATCTAAATTATAGTTTTGAGGAGGAGCTGACACTGACCAGTTTAGAATGCTGATATCGTACGCATTATGTTGGCTTCTTCTTGTTCAATGCGTGGATGGATAAGTTCTTAATTGTTCATGTGTACAAATCATTTCAAAGTTGTCTATTTCTATTCTCATGAAAGAATGGAATGGATGTGTAATAACTGAGTGCATATGTTTGTGTTTATCCGCGTTTACGTCAGGCTACAATTTCTCATTCTCAGTTCTTTTGTTTCTGTAAAATCAAAGAATGAATAAAGTGGGAAGGTATACAAGCAAGCAATGCATCGCATGCCAAAATAGATATCGAATTATTTACCCTTGAGTCTTCTTTGAAGAAGCAAATATCTCTTCTTTTCCATAAATTATGTACCAGACTGAGCTGATCAGTTGACAAGACTGGTGATGCATCATTGTAACCTGTTTTCCTTTGTTTTCCGCACCAATGATGTGGTTCATCCTAAGAAGTAGTACCCACTTCAGTTTTTAATTATTGTTTCTCATTCGAAGATGAACAACTCTCGAAGAGTTTCGAGACTCAAACCATGAAAGGATGGCACCAATAATATAGGGGCTAATCCTGAACACACTTGCAGAGAACTACGCCTTAAACCAATCGGAAGTTGAAAGGAAAATAACTATTTATAGCTGGTTTTCATTAGCCAATCAAGAGTCAAAGATAAGGGTACATCGTGAGCACAGTTGATCCTTGAAGCCCCAAGAGTTCCTAAGTACAAATGTCTCGTTTCCATACACCATTAGTTAGATGCACTTCAGTATGTACTATGGAACAGATTATCTCGTGTTTACGTCCAAGTTTATACTATCAGGCGCCGTCCAGACGTATCCATTTTCGTTGAAAACGCAAAAGTTTTTTTTCCTCCGTTTTTCAAAAATTGTCTTTCCACACGTAGAGTTTTTGTGTCGTTTTTGTCCGTCCAGATGTGTCCGTTTCCGTTTGAAAGCGCAAAAGCTTTTTCCGTTTTTGATAATTTCTCCGTCCACACGTGGCGTTTTTGATACTGTGACATCATCGTTTTCAAAAAGTTCCGTTTTCAAGAGCCTACACGAAAACACGAAAACAGCGCTATCACGCGTGCGCCCATCAGTTCCGAAAAGTTCCATTTTTGTATAATACTCAGATATTTTGATCAAGGCTGCCTTTCCTTCGTAATAATTTGACTGCATTCCTCCGCAGATGGAAACTCTTCGAAGGTTGTTACAGGATGACGCAAATACCGGAATCCTCAGTCCAGAAACTGGAAGATAGATTAAACAATAACGGGTGCATTAATTTCTGCCGTGACAAGGCGTTTCCTTTAGCAGCTACTTCCAACAAGCAATGTGTGTGTCTGAACAGTCTGCCAACAACATTGTTGGCTATTTCGACGGATGGAGATGCAGCTTCCGGTCCATCAAGTTCATGCAATATTAAATGTCCGGGAGATGCTGGAGAGAGTTGTTTTAGAACCAGTTGCTGTGGTGGTCCGGAGCAAGCCTACAGTATATATGCCACGGGTGGTGAGTGGTGTGTTATTCAACTGAAAATAACGCCTCGAAGATCGAGGCGAGTAGTCAAAAAGATTTCTGCCACCCTAAAAAAAGTTGTTCAGGAGGTAGTGAGGGGTGAAGGTCTCAATTTTCTCTTTACCGTAAGGAGTGAAGATATCGATATCATCACTTTTGCCATCGCTTTTTGCTCCTGGGCAATTTTAGACGAACTAAAACATTTAGGCCCATGGATCATGATCGTTAGTCTACGGCAGTGTGCGAACATTCTCGTCTTGATGATCTTCAGGTCACCTTCAGACATGGGTAGTAAACATTCGCAAAAAAAAAAAATCCAAGTATCGCCTCAGTTTTTGTAATTTGGTCGATTTTGTGATCAATAAATCAATAAATCTTCTGTACATAATCGCACAACCCGTAATAATGAGAAGTTCGAAATCCCATTATTCAGGTTAGCCACCGGCCAACGGACCTTCGCCTATAGAGCAGTATCCCTGTTGAACACGTGAGACGAAGACCTTAGAAACGCTACTACTTTAAAGGCCTTTAAGAAAGCCTTGAAACTTGTAATGAATGAATGATTGAACGACAGTTAGCATTTAACAATATTAGCTTGTTAGATATAGTTTGCATTTATATTTGTAATTAGGTACTGAAAAACCTTTTTTGGGAGTATTTATTAAGTTTTATTTTATTTTTGTTGTTTTAATAAAACATGGAAGCGCGAATAATTCTCTCGTGTTCACCCCCTGTCCATCCCTCAGTAGTGTCTCAGCTATACTTTACAATGTTTGATATTTTACCGAAAACCTGATTCTTGCAATGTAGTCCAAGGTTATTCGTGTTACATTTTCATGTCAGTGCTGGTTTTTGCCAACAGAGATTGACTACTTGGGACAACTATTGAATCTTCTGGAGACGCACAAAAACACCATTCAGACCAATGCACTTGGACTTCCAGATGGAGGAAGATGTATGTACAGAAACTTGTGATCGAATCGATACAGTAATTACAATTGTTATTAAGACCGTTACTAAGTTAGCCAGAGAGCCACAGTACTTAATCTGCTTCACCCCTCCACCCTCACCTCCCTACCAACTTATCCTAGTACTTTACCCCCCCCTAGTCACCTTTTCCCTTCACCTCTTCAACGATCTCAGTAACCACCTCGTGCACTCTCCACTTCCAAGCTCATAAATACTTTAATCCTCAAGTCGACAATCTAATTCTCCCAGCATTTTTAACTCCGACTGAGTGATTATTTCGGTAGAATTGATAGTCTGACCAGCTCATACCTAAACAATGGAAGTGAAACGTTTGCAGTTGGTCAGGCGTGGTCCTGATGAAGACGTGAAGGGTTAATGTTATGGTCCTTACTCCTCGGTGCTACAAAGGGGTTGTTCTTTTAACACGATGTGGATAAAAATGTTTGATCCGGTTTAGACAGGCCTTTTAATATATAACTCGCTGAAATAGCCTCAAATCATCACAAAACAAAAAGGAAGATACAACACTATGTAGTTAGGTGCGATGCGCATATGCTCATTCAATCTGCGCAATATAAGTATTAAATTATTATTATTATTATTATTATTAAGGTTCGCATATATCACAAAAAAAGTTTTACTTCGTGCCTGTATAATTTACTAGTTGAATTCCCATACATATCCTTGTAATGATGATAATTACTCAAGGACGGTGACACCGGAAGCTTGGATTAGCCCTGGGGCCGGAATACTTGTCGCTTCGCGTAGGGGTGTAAATTTCAGATTTTGGTCTCACTTAGGGAGGTTCTGGGCAAAACACCATTATATTTAGCCGTAAAGGTCTCTTTTAGGGTTACACTCAAAGAAATATTAAAAAATTATATATTTTCAATTCGTTTTAGTTACTCGATTCATGTAATCAGAGTTTACGATGATCGCTTTTAGAGGTCAAAAAAAGGTTGGGCTACGCCCAGATTTGCCTCCTTTAGGGGTTTAATTCAAAATTTCCGACGAGCATCCCCGCCCCTTTTATATGGGAGCCCCGGGAAGGGGGTTAGCTGTAGCACAATCTCTTGGTAAGGATTAATGGTATCAGGCTGTACTGGTCAGGTATTATTTTTCGTATTTTTATTCTTGTTAGTTTATTTTTACAGTTTCATACTGGGTGGAATTCTACTCGCGAATGCCAAAAAATAAAGTGAAGCGATGCGCCTTTGTCTCAACTGTTGAATAGAGAACTATCAAAGAGTTGATAAAGTGCAGAAGGGCTGCGGTGATTACACAGCGTCCACAGACGATCTCAAGCGAGTAGACTTCAATGTGATTTCAGTTAAAAAGGAAGCCAGCAAGCCCTACCCTACAAGAGAGACACCTCTTACCGGTGATTTTGACGTAGAATTGGACAACACCGGAGGATCCACTGAGAAATCATTCACTAAGTCAAGAACAGTCGAGGCAACATCAAGCCAAACATACTCTGTCGAGTCGGGAACTTCAAGTAGTTTTACCGTCGGGGCTTCTGTGAGTGCAGGGTTTGAGGCACTTGGAGCTGAGTTTTCAGTTGAGCTTTCCACCGAGTTCTCAAAGTCAGGCTTCTACAACAGTGGATACCAGAAAACTTCACAAGAAAAAATTACCACCGCTTTTCAGATTACGTCCAAGGTGCCTGCCGGAGTCAGAATAACCTGAGATCAGGCGTCTTTTTTTTTTTTTTTTTTGCTTCTTTGGCTCGAGAGGGAAAAAAAATAACGCCTGATACATTTATTTAACAAGCAGTCAACCGCCCCCTAATTTACATGATCTACCGTTTGCTTGACCTGTCATGTTTTTAGCCAATAAGCGTTTACCAAACGGGAATCAAATTTTGGCGCGAATAATGTCTCTTTTGAAATCATGATCAGTTTTAGGGGAAAAAAAATTTTTTAAGTACGTCCGTGTTCAGATGGCGCTTCGCAAAAAATAATAAAAAAAAATTAATGTGTTGTTTTTGTGATGAAATACTCTGGAGCTGTCGTACCTTTGTGAATAGCTACAAATAACAAAGAATTTACTGGTTAAAGCTCGTTGACTTCGTTCTGTACTACGAAAGCAGTGGAAAAAAAATTAGGCTGAAGCACCATATTTCACGAACTGAAAGGTGTTGTGAAAGCGAAGATCGCTCAGGATAATTCGCAGCATGATTTCTGAAGGAGGAAATACAGTCAAACCAGGTCAAGATTCCATTCATGAATTGATTATTTGAAAAGTGAACCCGTTTGTCGCTTCTGTAACTTGTTGCCGGTATCAAATTGCATTCAAATGATCGGTGAAGTTTTAACTGCAACTGTTTTGGTATACGATGAGCTGGTCAATATTTCAATGGATGAAACTTCTATTCAGGCATTCTTCAAATTCAAGAAAACTGAGCGGGCAGAAATTTCATTTATAACGAACTCGCATGTGTATTCACTGCTTATTACGCAAGCAAAAATGCAGACTGAAATCAACAACAACTAACGGATGGCGTCATTTTGGCCAATCGGAACAGCGCAAATCATCCGCATTGTTTCCTATCCAATCAGAAAAAAGTCCAGATTCTGGCATTTTTACATGTGATCCGACAAAGAAATGTATCATGCCCTCTTCCCGTGAGAGACATAAAGGGATAATAGGGAGAGGGCATGATCTCAGGCTAGAGTCAGAACGATCGCCCGCTTTTCCAAGCGCACCGAACCCCTCACATTAAAGTGGGGAGCCACTATCCATGCAGAAGGCGAGATTAAACTGAGTTATGTTTTTGGAAAGTTTGGTTATCCATTAAAGGGGAACCAGTCCGTAACAGTCTCTTTGTCGCAGGTAGGTGGTGGTAGGACCTCGCCAGTGTTTTTCGAATCCTCCGAATTTTCGAACGCTGAGGAAGCGGGCTTACCAGCGTTATACTGAACCGTAAATAATTACAACATTAATCGTTATTGCTGTGTCTGATAAATTAACGGTAACTTTGCCGAAACAAGAAAGATACCAAGATCTTCTACAAAGTGTCATTAGAGATTGTAAAAAAAAAAACAAAAACAAAAACAAACAAAAAAAAAAGACGAAACTGGTACGCCGTTAGCGGTAGGCGTTCTCAATATAAGATTGATAGTGAAGAGCTTGTAAGCAAATAGACATTGCTTCCTACTTTTATGAGCGTCGAGATTTTGAAGCAACATTAATGCTTTCTTCCCAGAAATCCTTTGTTTTCGTTTCATTATTGTCAGTGTATTGTTGAGATATTTTTCAGAGGGTAGATACGAGTCACCTCCTGGGCTTCTCTATATAATAATGTAGTTTTTGAGTGATTCCTAGGGAAAACAATTCACTTACTTCCCTAACACAATCCGGCCATAGGAAAGTTCAAACTTGGAAAAGCTTTCAAAAATATTTGAAAAACCACCTTATGAAAGCACAACTGAGGTAGCTCTGAATCGGTTCCTACGAGTATGTTTTTAAACTTGGCAGTATCTTAACTTAGTTGCAGATCACAATTCTTGATTAAAAAATGGGGGTCACGAAACTCGTTTTTGACTTAAAATCACTTAAAGCTAAATGTAGGGTATTTTAAAAGGTCATATTGTTGCTGGAGTAACCTGTCGAGAAAGTTACCATAACTTGTTTACCAATGGCATTTGTTGATGCCATTGTTGTAGTAGCAACTAATAAAAAGTGGTTGTATTTAACCATCAAGACATAAGAGCTGTAAACTGGTCTGAGTCACTTTAGTTGGGAATAACTAGCAATACTCTCAAACCTCCAAAGTTGACGTGACTAAGTTAGCCTTATTTGAGATCTCGAATATTGCAGCAACAAAAACATTTACTCTCTGGTAAAGAAAATGACAAAAGCTACGTGTTGTCATCGAAATCCACCAAAAATAAGACCGCAGTCAAGTTCGACAAGCCCACGTGCACCATTCATAACTTAGGCATGGAGCGTAAACTACTCATAGCTAATCAGATTAAACAATTTTGTTGTACTTACGATTATGATTATCATCATTATTACCAAAACGTAGCTCAAACCAAACTCTTTCATTTTTTTCTTTTTTGAGGCAATACCTTCTCTGCAAACCGTTTTTTACACCATGGGGACGGTAAGAGCAGAGGCCAGGGTTGTTATAGGAGCGAAGATGGAGTCCTATGATGCACAGGGGAACTTAATCGAATCAAAACCTGCGAGCTCATCGCAAGTCAGTGAAGTTCGAACCAGCCGACAAAGAGACCCTGGTCATCGCCGTTCTTTCCGAAAGATGAATCCCAAGCACATGAAAAACACACATCGTGGGGACTACTAAACATCTGAGATTTACAGGAAATAAGGTTCAAATTCTGCAGCATCTTATCCGCCCCAGGCATTGGCTGTAGCATATTTCTAGGTTTATAGCTGCAAGTTCTTGTTTGCATGAAGATATCGTAACTACATTGAAAAACTTGCGCAGAGATAATAAAAAGACAAAAAATGAACAAGTGTTTTTTTTAAACTGTGATATGATGGAAACGTGTGAAGTGACGTTCAATAGCAGTTTGAGATTTTTACTTTCACGTTGTGGATAGTATATAGCGTCTAAAAAAATCAATACCACGCATTGCAACGTCGTTTACATTTAGAGAATTTCATTAATAATTCCACCTTTTGCCCTTCATTAACGGAAAATCAATTTTCATTTTCAGTTTAAGGAATCTCATTTTTGCGAATTTAAAGAAATTTTCATTTTGGTTATTCGTCGCTTCATTAGTGAGAAAAACGTGTGAAGTGCACATTCAGTAGTATTTTGAGATTTTCATTTTGATGTTGGGGTTTAACCCGGCGTAAAAAGCTGTGAAGTTTTTCTTTGTTTTGTAGCGATTGTTTTCCTTGGCTCTATTGTGTTGGCTTCTCAGTGGCTTCTTTATACTCATTGTTTTACGTCACTCGTGAGTTTCACAGGTTTGTACACTGAGGATGAGCTCGTTTTACGTACATCTGCAGTGCATGCATACCTGTTTGGCGTTTTTCTTCGTTCAAAATACAGTAAAGCACGATATTATAACGACAACTATCGTAAATGAAAATCCGTAATTGTAAACCATGTTTGCAATACGTGTTATTAGAGGATGTTAGCATCAACAACGAGTACGAGTACGAGAACGACTTCAAGCCGTACTCGTAATCGAAGTCGTTTTCTCAGCTGTCTATGTTAGCGATGACACCGAGTTCGAGTTTATAGAAATAAAATTGTAGGATTCCGCATGACTGGGCGCCAAATTTGAGTCGAGGTGGCGCTTCCACAACAATTTCGAAAACAAAAAAATGACTCTAAAAAACGTTCAAGACTGCTTGTTAATTGATTTTTCAAGGTAACACGAAGGATGGTTAGTCGCCGTCTTAAAACACGCTAAAACCCATCAAATTCAACACAACAACCACACTGGATAAAGAAGTAAGTATTCTTTATTGATGTCTTCGACTGTTGGGATATTTTCGACCAAATAATGGCAATTTTCGGGGTTATTTCGTGAGCCTGTGAGGCCTGTGGAGAGACATGAAACTTTCCCGGGTAAATGCAAATTTACTCTGTGTAGGAAATATCGCGTTCGATTGCTTTTTCTCGACTTCAAAAGCAGTATTTTCCATAACACATAATATAAGGAATGTTCAAGATGATAAAGAGAGGCTAGAAACGAAAAGAAACTGCATTAAACGATCGGAATTTACCTTTGAAAACCAGCTCTTCCCAGTCGTTCTCCCCACTTCGAGTTTTTGGTGAGAACTCGTCGTAGTGCAACTTGACAGGACGACTTGAAAAAGTGGAGATGCGCAGAACGGACGCGCAGTCCGCAAAATCGCTGATCTCGTTCTAGAACTCGTACTCGTTGTCGATGCTAACATCCTCTATTGATTTTGGGAAGACACTATTCTTGGCTTGCAACCACGTGACAAGGCGGTCATGTTGGTGGTGTGTTGGTCAAAAGAGCGTTTTCACATGAAGTAACGGCGGCCATATTGATGCTCCAAAACATTAAAACGGCGGCCATGTTGGTGTCCCAAACCAATCCTGTGGGAGTTGAGCGCTTTTCTTTTGTAAACACTTTCTTTTGTTCCCATAAATTTGCATAGATGCTGGCCACGTGAGTGAAAACGCTCTATACAATAGAATTTTTTCTTGAATAATTTACATGAAAATAGGGTTTAGTTCCCAGAGAAGAGAAATGCTTTTGTTCTTAACCCTAACACACCGCCAACAATTCCACCAACATGGCCGCCGTGACGTCACGTGCAAACCAGCAAAAGCTTATTTACAAATTGCCAAGACTTCATTGAATGTCACATCACACCTCCTCCTCACTAATGACGC